ATTATCTAAACTGCTGACTGACCTAAAATTTGTTTTTTCAACTCTTCAGTTATATACATTTTTACTACTGAATGGGATTTTCTTGGATCCAAGTTCTAAGTGACTGATGGCATCCTTATTATTTGACGTTATCTGCAAATGTAAGGGTTTTTGTTCTTTTGAATTTATAATAACTAGTGGTTTTAGTAATTATATTTCACTAAGCTGTGGCCTTCATGAAACATAATGTTTCCTCAAGATTTTTATAACTTAAAACTACATTTTGAAGTTAGATAGTAAAATCCCAATGATGCATATATTAACTCTGCTAATATTTTAAATAATTCAATTTTTAATGATTTCAGAGTATCTGTTCTGAAGGATATAGTTAACCTTACTCCTGCAAAGTGATTTATTAATAGAGTAGGAGTCCTTTTAATCTGACTGAAGGATTAAAATAATGTGAAGTTAAAACTACCTAGTTTCCTCCCTCTCTTCTTTTTGTGTTCCTTTATAAGATGAATAAAGGTCATTTGAAGTTAATGGCTTGTACATTTAGAACTAATAACAGGAAATGATCTTTCATACAATAGCTAATCTCTCTTATAAGGCTGAGCCCCTTTCCCATTATAGGATGGTGTTTTCAGTTGCTTACAATTCTTCTGAACTTTAAACAGTAAAACTGAACATTTCCATGTCAGCTGTCTGCCTCAGGCCAAATTTGGAATTTTTAGGCAAAATGTTCAGCTGTTTCCAGGACTGAGACTAGGACATTTTAGTCCCATATTTAAAATTCTTGATGCTTGTTTTTGTTGAACAGCTCTGTTGTCTTTAGTGTTTAGGGCTGAGGAGTTGAAGACTGCTGATATGGAATAAAGCCTTTTGTGTTAGGCATCTATTCTTGGCCGTGAGAATCGGTGCAAATGTGATAAAGTTTTATGTGAATAAATAATGAAAGTTCACAAGTACTCAGAGTACCTCCTTCTTAGCAGCAGAGAGTCCTGGAATGTTGGGTCTGTGGAGCATATTCAAGAAAGCCTCTGAGAGTCAGCAGGAAGACAGCCATTTGGTAGAAATGAAGCAAGATAATAGGCAATGGAAAATGCATATCTGAGAAAGGTATATGAAGTCCCTTTGGTCAAGGCACTTAGCAAGAAGCCATGGTGAGATGGAGTAGGCTAGTTTAGAAGCCCAGAGGGAGACAAAGTGATGCCTAATCATGGTGGTCCAACAGAGGGAAAGGGGCAGAGTGGCCAAACTCAAGGCAGAAGGACAGAAGTGCCAGTCCACACTTTCCTCAAAAACTTGAGTGGAAGCATTGTTCATTTAGTCTCAGGGTCTCCTGTAAAGAATATAATTGTGTGAAGTCTACAGCCATCAATGTATGAATTTCAGCTAGCTCTAGAGGAATAGCGTAGTAAAAGTGTTTGTTTGTTGCTGTGGTTATTTAGTGCACTGTCTTAAGGATTTGTGTGATGTGCCTTTGTATGAAACTGACCCATTTAAGAATGCAATGCTAGAATTTTTTCTAACAACAACAAAAAAACATCTAGAATTAGGATGGACAGGACAAACTGTATTATATAGCCTTTGAAACTTTACTTTTGTGATCTAGGGGTATTGTTTTCCTGTATATCACTATCATAACATTAAATGAAGGCTTGTGAAATAAGCTAAAGCCAACCTTGAACTGAGAATTTGGTGCATAAGCAGCAGGTTTTCTGGATATCAGTTGCATAAAGGAGAATACTGCTTTTTGTAGAACTGCCCTCTCATGTGTTGAGAAATTAGCATTTGTGTAGTGAATAAGGCAGGGGACATAAGAATTAAAAGGAAGTGGTTATGGATAAGTTAGTTGAATCCATCCATGGAGAGGGGCATGGGTTCCAACTCTCTTTGCTACAGAGTTTTTTCTGTGGTTCAATTATGAATTATTAAAATAATTCATATTTCATCTTGTTTCCTTATGTTGAAATTGAGATCCCCAGGACTTATTTGTAGAAATGCTGGGTATTGATACAAGCAACATAAGTCCATAACTTGAACATATTCAAACTTTAGGTTTCTGAGGCTGGGCACCCTGGGACCCTTGTATGCTTTTGGACCTTAAGCTTTCTTCACTTCACCTTACAGGTTGTTGTAGGTGAAGTGTAGATAATGTCATTCCTGCTTTCCAGGATGCATTAAGAGGATTGATTAATGACTGTGGCGAGAGTTGTAGAAAAGCTCCTGAAGAAGCTAATATCCCTACCTGTACAGTAGGATTTGAATAGCCCAGTTCGCAAAGATACAACCACATATGGAACCATCTCTGCTGTGTACAGAATAAAGCAAGGGGCCTGTTAAAGGATAACGTATGATTACCTGATTAAAGACAATATCATAATGCCTTTGTACAAGAGGGACAAATTAAGCTTGTACAGGCAGCCACTTCCTACGTTATGAATGTTTGACTTTGCACTCTTCTAAATACTCTTTTCATGCAGCATTTCTTTTACAATTATAATTTATGTTTCAACTAGGATGGTGAACTCATTATGAAGAAAGGTTGAAATGTGAAACTGTATATCAGAAGACTCCAAATTTAGTGATAGCTATTTTTTTTGTGTGAAAATAAGTGCTTGGTCAGTGCTGTGTTGGCACCCATAGTTCTATCATTACTGCTCTGAGAATGAAGTGACTGAGGAGAGTCTTCTCTCTACAGTGCTGTACCTGTGGAGGTGAGCCTTCTTGCAACCATGGAGGAGGCAATCACTCGGGCAGTAGGAAAGTTTGTCCAATTACTGCCTATCTCTGTTCTTGGATGGAGGAAGGCTTCCCCTTTAAGGGCTGAAAGCTTTTCACAAATGCTTTATTTACACAGAAAGAAAAATGTTACTTGCTAGGGGCACACACTGGAAAATAAAAACAACCCTGTTCTGTATTTTCTATTCTGTAGGTAAAATACAAAAGAGACTTTGAAGAAAGCAAAGGAAGAGGGTTCAGTATTGTGACCGATACGCCCGAGTTACAAAGACTGAAAAGGACTCAGGAACAAATCAGTAATGTATGTGACTGCCATCTAAAGTGATTGTAGATGGAGAAATAGTGTGTCTAAGAACAGGCGTGTTTGTTGGTGTTTCTGATGAAGTCTGTGAGAGTGAAGAGTCTGATTTGGTGAGTGATTTGTGTATGTCAGATTTTGAAGTGTGTGCAACTTTGTACTATGGACTTGTACAGCACATGGGCAATGTGTGTTCACCTCTCCAGCTTTCATCAAGTATGCTCACAGTATTTTCTATACTAAAATGATTTTACACTTTTTGCTTTTTAAATGATATGCTAGGAAATCAGAATAATTTTGTACAATTTATTTACATATAAACTACAAAAATTAGCTGTATATATATATATTTTTTTAAGCAGGATCTGTCAGAACATAACTTGCAAGGTGGAGTTTTTTAGAATCAAATAAAACTTTGATACTGAGTTTTAAATGAAAATACATACAAGGTAATGTTTTGCAAGATGAGGAGGGAATGGAAATAGAAAACCTTCACCATGTGTTTCATTAGCTTAGAACGTGAATGTGGAATGTTTTCAAGTGGAATATTTAAAAATGGAACTTCTAATGACTTTTGTTTTCATTGCAAAGTTATTCATTTATGTTTTGTTCATTTGTACAACATTTAATTCACTGCATGATGGACTATTGGGTGACACGTACTGCAAATTTTGATATGTATAAATTAGGTAACAACAACTAGTGTGAACTAGAAGTGATGCAGAGTGCCTACCACTGGCTTTTCCTAGCTTCCCTTTCTGGTCACTCTTTTGATGTCCGGAGCTGGTCTTTGAGGTGAAAAATTGGGCTTTCATTTCCTGGAGCCTTGGCTGATGGGGAGAGCAGTTAATTTAGGAGCTGTGCAAATGATCCTGGGGGTAGATAAGATGAGAACTAAAGCTCATACCTAATGTTAATTTTGGGGCTAACTGAAATTTCTGATTTGAGAAAGAGAAAGATGTATCCTTCAGAGTGCCAAAAAGCATGGCCATTAAGACTTCCATTTGGGGATCTGGGAAACTTCAGTGAGTCCCTGGTTTTAATCAGCTGCATTTTTATTCAGACTAGGAACTTAAATTAGGTCCTCTCATGACCTACATCACTTCTTAGAGCAAGAGTGATTCTTTTGTGCGGGGTAGTTCTGGAACACATCAAGGAGATGAAACGAACAGTGCTCAGATGCTTAATTCCTAGCATGGACCTGCTTTGTTAGGAAAGGCTGACATACAGCCAGTCTATGACAATAATTTTTGGATATTGGCAAATCAAGAAATTTCATTTAGACCTCCTAAGAGTTGTACCCTCAACATCAGAATATAGGATAGTATGATATAGCCAATTTGCATACACTTTTTCTAGTGCAAAACATGTTGGGTTTTCTATTATTGAAATTGGGATTATTTGTTTTTTTAAATCAAATTTGAGAAATTTTGTGAGATGGAAAGCAATTTTCTTCCCAGTTCTATTTTTCAGTGGAATAAGGGGGTTTCTCTTCTAGCAGAAGACCTTGTTGCACAATTTATAATACTGTCTGGCTCCAAAACCAAACATATTCATCTTTCTTTTCAGACCCAGAAATATCTTTTTAAAAGTGAAAAGTATTTCACTTATTTTTTGTTGGTTCTTAGGTATGCAGCTCCTGTCTCTTCATTCCTAACTACCCTGTCTTAACAATGCAGGTTTGTTCCATCCAATCTTAACAGTACAGTGTTGCTTTCTTTCCTTGATGTATGCAGCCGAAACAGATTTTATGTCATGGACTCTATTAGAAATAATTAATCTTGAAAGGTAAAATGGAATTTTAATGTGTGCATGATAAAGGAAATTGCATTTCATTTACACTTCTCTAAGTTAATCTCATTTGATTTTTAGCATTACATCCTAGAAAGCTAATTCTGCATAGGCCACAACTTGAATCTAATTAGTAAACTCCTGTATTATAGAAAAGCATTCCACACAGAGTGGTTTCTATATTTAGCAGATAAACAGTGTACATCATGGAATAAGGATCTAATTAAGGGTTCAAGACATTGAAAGGTAAGCACTTTAATAATCTTAAAATAATTCTACGTTTCATATATAGCAAAAGTGAAGAATACTAATATGTATATTTAATTTTCAGTTTTATTTTGATATCACCTTGAAGTATTAGAAACTTTTCAAAGAGCCTATTTGAAACAAAATTGTAACAGCTTCATTGAATGGGTAAGTGTGTAGCTATTTTTGATGAAGATAAATAATAAAAAAATAACAATAATAGATAATAATTAGTGGAAGTCTTTATTAAATATTGTCTTTTGTGTAGATGATAAGTTTTGCAGGATACATGAATAATAGTGTAGTGCTAAGACTTTTTAAACAATTTCTTATGCTGTCAATATAAACCCTGTGAGTAAAAAGCAGGAAGAATGGGAGGAGAGCAGCTTAATGAAGGGGAAGGTTGGATTTCAGTTGCTGGTTTGCCAGCAGCAATCCTGCTTCTGGAGACTTAGACCAAACTAATGGAATGTATTTTGTGACTTGGTGGATGTACCAGGAGCAGAATGGAGTTTATTGAAAAGAATGAAATTTGCCCCCACCCCCCCCCCCCTTTTTTTTTTTTTTTTTTTTTTTAGTGTTAGAAACATATTCTACAGTTGTGTAGCATGAACTAGAAAGAACCCCAAAGCCTCTCTTGGTCTTTCAGGATCAGCTGCTGCAAGCTACAGCTGTTACAGCTTCTCAGCACTGAGTTAGCTTGAAAGGTGTAAGCCAAGAATGCTAGCATGCTAGTCTAGATTGATGTAGAGAAGGCTGCATAAACTAAGCAGGTTTTTTATTGACAAGCTTTCAAGATTTCTAGCATCCTTTGCATGGCTGAGCAGACATTTTAAAATTTGAATCATTTTCACATGTATTAATTCCTAAAATGTATTATAAGTTACTATTTTTTCAATTATTTAAATATAAGTTTTTCATCAGTTCTGGTGCAGACAATGTCACTGCATTTCTCTGTTTCATGGCATTGAATATGTAGTTAATACACATGAAATGTATACTGTTCGTGCAGAGAAATGTGTTATTTTTGTTTTTAAGACCTTGCAAGTGTTTTTTTGACCAGTTTGAACTTTGAGGTAGGATTTTCATTATGAAAGCAAGTATTCTCAAAATTAAAAACAAAACCTAAAATATTTTTATAGGCAATCTTACCAATAAGCTAACTGCAAACTTTTACAAGGAAAAAGGTAAGGTGGCAAAAGAAACAGAATAATTAAAGAAAATGGCAAAAGTCTATTTATTGATCTCTCATGACACATGTCTAAATGAAGAAGTAGGAACTCGATAATCTTTCCTTCAGGGAAATGGAACACTTACAACAGTTTGTAACAATGAGCTGCAACTTAATACCATTACACTTTTATGTCTAGATGTATGTTTTGACACATATTTTATCCTATGTGAAATAAGTTCTCTTTCTTAAATCTGTTCCTGGTAAATCTCTACAAGGTATAAAGCAAAACAGGTTTCTGTACAAATTGATGGAGTGTGAAGCTTTCATTAAGGTAAAGGCTGATGCTTGAATAGTAGAGTCTGCTTACTAGGTTGTATGGCTGGAAGGATACATGGAAACTATCATAAGGATTGCCCTCAATTACATTGAGACCCTCTGTAAGCGTTTCTCACTTTCACTTTCATGCTAATATGAACTTAAATCATGTGGAAGCAAGAAGAAGCACATATCTGTGTCCTTCTTCGATATGAGAGCTAGCAAAATGTAGTCTTGCAGTTCTTTTATATGTACGAAACTTATTTTCCAGGAGGTTTGAACTGTATGTGAAATGGAAACTGTACCTCAGGATAAAAAAAAAAAGAAAACAAGAAAACAGATTAGATTTGGTTTAAAAAACACATTTCCAAGGTACCCTACTTTGGTTAAGACTTTAAGTTAAAAAAAGAGGGTCCCTTAGTCAGGAGAGAAAGTCATTGAATCACGTTGGTGAATGGTGGTGTATGTACAGCTCCCCATGTACAGCGAGCTGAACTCTGCACTGAAGGAGAGTGCATGAAAGTAAAACTGCAGAAAGAGAGCATGAAGTAAAACTGATTTTGTAAAAGCTGCAAATACAGCCAACAAGTTTTATTTAAACACCCTAGTTCCAGGAAGTAAATTAATAGTCTTTTGCTTATTTGTATGAAAACAAGGTTTTTAGAAAATAATCCATATGTTATGCACTTTTCCTAGATATATTTTTGATGATATGAAATAGAACTTTCTTACAAATGAAAATTTCGTAACATTTTTAAAAGCAGCACGTGGATTTGAATGAGAAACTGAACATGTAGCTTTGTAGCCTCTCTTTGATTTTACAAAAAGTGAAAAAATTTTTGTAAAAAGCATTTTGTAAAAATTTTTTGTAAAAACCAACAATTTTTTTTTTTTTTTTTTTTTTTTTTTTTTTTTTTAAGTGTTGAGGATAACGCTCTGATATTCTGCCTTCAGTTACATTCATGCAGCTTCAAGGGAGGTGATGGAGGACAGGATTTCCCCCATAATTTGAATCGACTAAACACGTGTTTTCTGGAAAAAGACACGAGATAAAGAACTGGGTACTGCCTCAGATGCGATACAAATATATCTTAATATATCAACTAACAGGGAAGAAAAGATCATATTATCACTGTACTTGTGCACATCTGCACATCTGAAATTAGAAACTGGCCCTAACAGAGACTGAGCCATAGCTCCACATTTGGAAGTTACTGGCACGGTTGTTCAACCTGTTTACTTGCTCAAACATAAGATGGTCTCTCAAATTGCCAAAACAGATTGTAGAGAAAATTGGCAGGAAGAGATGTTAACAACAAGGCCTGGAGTTCCATTTGTAGGATTCACAGTGTACAGCCTGCAGATATTCATTTCTAAGGGCTTTTTTCTTTCCATTGAATTCAAGTGAAGGAGAAGAACAGCATGAAAGGGAACAAGAAAAACTGACAGCAACATGAACGTCTACATTTCACAAAACCAGCCATGGCACATCAATGAAGAGACTGGGTAAGCATGTTAAATTGCATACAAAAAGAGCTTATTTTATTCTAGGCAATGCTGGTATATTCACTGCTTCTGAAGTGATTCACACTTTAATCTGACTGTCTTTATATTACTAAGCATGATTTTTTTTTCTTTTGGAAAATATGCGTTTAATGATATATGACAACTGTATCTGCTAACATAAAAAGAATAGCACTTGCTGACTGGTTTATGAACTGCTGCATGCACGTAGCAGAAGCGTAAGGCTCAATGTGCCATGATACTGATTGCCTTCTGCTCCTGTTGTCTCCTCTGACAGTTTAATGCAGCTCCAAAAGCTATTCATTATTGGGTGTGCTCTAGGCTTAATTCCACAAAACTGCATTTGGAATGTGTAACTCATGGAATTAAGCAAATAACACTTGATTGCAACAGCATTTTTTTTTATGTTTGGAAGATAGGAAGTTGAATATGTCATTCCCATTGCTAATGTATCTCAAAGAAGATTCCTTCTGTACTCTGATGCAGTGAGCATGCACGTATAGAGTCATTTCCAAACTTGTCCCAGTTCCGGATTCCTCTTTTAGTCTTGCTTTGTATAGATACATACAAATACAGATTCTGAGAAGCCCTATGTCATTTGGCTTTCTGGTATTTTTGTGTTGAAGTATTTTGAGTTTTTATTCTAAGTAAGCAGAAATAATTCTGCCTTTAAATGCAGAGTCCTAATAAATGCTTTTGAAATGACTTAGCAAAAGAATCCCATCAATTTTTGATGACCGAGTATTTTCTGCAGATTCTTTTATAGCTTTTGCATACTGTACAGCTTTGAGAAATTTGTACGATGACTGAACACATGCTTAAGAAACGATGAGTCTAAGGAAAAGTAAGTAGTATTTTAGACAGAAATTGTGCTAAGTGAGCAGCTGGAGACCTTTGAGAATGAGTTTCAAGCCTCAGTGTAAGTTCAACTTAAAAAAGAAAAATCCTTCACTAATGGTCATTATTAAAATATTATACAGAATTTAGGAGAACACAATGTTAAATTGGTCCCTGTCTATGTGAATTCTTTACCTACATTGTCAGTAAAATGTATTAAATTATATAATGTCATTCTGCTTTCTTCACTTCTTCCTACTTTGATCCCTATGTAGAATAATAGTCACTGTGTATTCAGCTTTGTAATATTTTCTTTCATTTATTATATTTTTCTGTGTAGTATGATATTATGCAGACCATAAAATGTTGCTCTAAAAACAACCAGTAACTTTCTTCTGGACTTTTCCTCAGAGCTTCTTTCTCACTTCTTTACTGTCTTGAATTTAATTATTTTCAGTGTGGTCTAAGAAAGGGGAAGGTGTTGGAATCCCCATTTATGCAGTCCTTATTTACACACAAAAAAAAATAAACCACAGAAATAGAAGTATTCATGCCTATCCACTAAATGGCATCAAGAGTAAGCCTTTATCTTCTGTGTCAGCTGTCCATTAGAGGAAGGGGGAGGCACAGTGTTTGCTAGCAAATTTTACAGCCATTTGCTGGAGAGGAGAGTTTCACTGAGAATGCAGAGCAGTGTGCTCCTTTTGCATCTGGGGTGACACTGACTCTTACTGTCCCCATAACCTTCTCAGTGTTGGTCTCCCAGTTTTCTTAATTTCTGTGATATACGTGACAATAACTCCCAACACATTGGAAGAAATGGTATTTTTGGACTCAAAAATGATGCCATTTTGGACTGCTAGCTGCTCATTGCAATCATTGTGTAAGGATCTGTTGGTACAGTTGGAACTGAATAACTTTAACTACTGCTGTTGTAGTTAGTATAACTCCAACTACGTATAACTTTAACTACTGGAAATATTCTACTGAACAGGTGGACTTTCATTTTGCTGCAGTGTATAACTTAACACATAAGGTCGTATTCTATGGGTGCAGATGGAAAGATGCATAACTCTTCAACAGAAAGAACTGAAAGATTTTACAATTGAGAAGCTGGAAAACAAAACCCTGCCCAGGAGAGGCAACTGCATTTGGAAAAACTTCCAGCATTAACAAGTAGGGATTTATAATGGACATCAGTGAATAGTTTGAGGTATTATATCCCATACTGCCTGTGATAGCATTAGATGCGCAAATTCAGAAGGGTGCATGGGTCCATTGAAATACTAAACACAGATGTATAGTGAAGTTCACATACAAATATGTGAAAGAAACTCTACATCGGCAGGTTTCTAAAATGGAACTGGAAATGTCTGTCAGAGCTGAGTCTGTTTGGACTTGAATAGCTTGTGACCTAGGGATAATTTCTGCTGGGGAAGGCTCCCTTTCAGCAGCCACAGCGAGCAATGATAAGTGACCTCAAAAAAATCCTCACAAATGTGAGACTGAAACTGTCCTCAGAGATGTAAGGGGAAATATCTTAGGTTAAGTGGATCTCTGGAAGTCAAAGGAAGCTACATGTATGTAGCTGCCTTTTAAATTCCATCTGTCTTTATTCTGTAGGCTCAGTTAGAAAACAAACCTCTTTGCTCTCTTTTTAATCAAATATGTTATGGGTAGCAATGCTTTATTATGCATTTTTTTTTTTCTAGGATTTCACAAGTCTTTTAAATGAGTTTATAGAAGAAATGACTATAAATATTATTTTGTTCTGTATCACTGTTTTTATATGAAATTAGGTGATTACAGCTGTGGTGCTTTTATGAATTTAAAATAAATCTCAAAGTTTCAGAAAGTTTTCCGTGAAGTTCCACAGGGAACTGTAGTCTTTCTGATTCTAATTTAAATAAATAAATTTGACAGGATGACTGTAACCTTGCTCACTATATTGACAAAGTAAAATGAGTTGTGTGGTGGAAGTAAAACAAGTCATCTAGAAAGATCCCTAAAGGCACGGAATTACTGTATTGTTTAAGTGGGTCAACTCATGCATGAGAAATGAATGCTAATTGTAAACTGGTTGCAAAACTGTTGACTTCAAGTGGAATTGAATCAAATGATAACCTAAATATTTTAATAGAGATGTCCTGACATGTTTTTCTTTAGAAAACAGCAACAAAGGTAAGCATCATGGAGAGATAATTAAAACGTGTTTGTGTTACATTAAAACAGTGTCATTCAAATTCAAAATCAAAGGCATTTTTCTCATTTATGTCTCTGACACTAGTAAATTTTACATGGATCATGTTAAGCCTGTATTTGGTTAAATGTGTGTTCGGATTGGGGGGATGCTTTACATGAGATACACTTTAATTTAGTAGAGAACGGTCTTTTTCTCAATGATCAAAACATTCAGTCCAGTCTAGAAAAACACCTCTTTGGCTTTTTCTCATTGAAATAATAATAAAAGAGAAGTATCTAGTTAGAAGATAGAAAAGAAAAAGATTAAATTTATTTCTTCCTTGTTTCATTTTCTATTTGTGATACAATGCTCAGATTAAATTGCAAATCAAGACTTATATGAAAGACAAAAGTAGTTTATATAGTCTTCAGATATATAGCATAGTGTTTCATGGACTTCATTTTAATCCATGCTAACTAAAATATCTTGTCAACAAATGCATGTGCTATGGATGGAGAAGTAAAATCTTCAGTCAATATGTACTTATTAAAAACTCTGAATATCCTAATTGGAGACTAAAACAGCTATGTAAACCTAAACATAAAATTGTCAGTTATGCTCTTTTCACATTTTGCTGCAGTATTGACTGTAGTACATGTGCTGCTTTGTGCTGTTGTTTATGGCACGAAAAAATACAAGCTGTAATGAAGACAACAATAAAAAGTGTTCTGTGGCAACTATTGTAAGCATCAATCTATCTGTCATCTGACTGAAGGATTTGAGTCTCATTAAACACTACTGACTTCAAGACTAAGTCAACTTGGAAGGTTTCTGACATTTAAATATATGGCTTTTTCTCTTATGGTGCAAAGCAACTAAATAAAGATGATGCCTCCTTACCCCCAATTTTTTCATATTCATTTCAATATATATTCAAGTAATATCAAAATCACTCATTACTTTTAATGAGAATATATTTTTGAAGCCAGTGTTTTTTACATATAGTAAAAAGAAAATGAAAATAAAATCTCTTTTTATAGTAACTCAGTTTAGGAGCTAATTAAAATGAAGCTTTTAAAATGAAAAAAAAGAAATTAATTAACCAAGAAGATGAACACTGGGATTTAGCAACTGCAGAGATCCTTGAGTAATTAAGTACTTGTAAGGAAAAGATAATTTCTTATTTCTTTGTTTTCCTATATTGTCCATTACCTGCTTATCATTTCAGCTTTTAATTCTGTCTTATCTGATGCTTTTGTATTGTGCATCAGTTGCTAGGGCAGCATCTCAGGCAGTAAACCTCCTGCTGAAGAACAAGATGCTCTGCTTCTTCTAAAGCTAATACCATCTTTAATCTTGATCCTTGGAGATTTGAATGTCTCACCCCTGTAATGCTCATAGACTTCATTGACCTTGACAGCAGGGGTATCTAGTCCTCTGTGCCACTCAGTTATTTTTTCTGCATGTTAACATTTTATGTCTGTGTTTTCCTTAGCTTGTCAGTAGTTACATTAGTTGTGACAAAGCCAGCACTGTAGAAAGTGTAATGATTAACCTTTTTAACCATTCTAATACAAGACAGGAAGTAGCAAAAGTTTACGTGACATTTCTGCATATTTCTACAGAGATCTTAGAAGATAAGTGTCTACTTTTCCAAAAAGCAGATTAGGGTGACAGAAGTATTGCTTTCTAATGCTTTCTGTTCTATTCAAATAATAGTTTAGTTACAGAAATGTTTGTGTACTTTTTATTTGAAAAGTTATTTCCCTAGCTTGTACCAACATACTTCCACTGTTAGCAACCACAATATTTTAATGAAAATCTGTAAGTATTTTTTTTTTTTTCAGAGCAGCCTTGAATTAATTTATTTTTCTCCCATCTGTCCTCATTTGGTAACTTAGTTACCCTGTTCAGACCTCCAGAAAGACGAGGTAGAAGGGGCAGGTATTGAAAAATAGCAGCG